TCAGATCACTTCTGGCTAACTAATCCGCTATCTCATTTTCTTCGACTTCCATGTGCTCTGGTACACATATCATTTGTATAGCACTGTTCTCAGCAAGAGCGTTAAGCTTCTCTATACACCCCAGGACCAATGGGCAAGAGAGCCATTAGTGCCGCCTGACTATCACTTAATATAAGAACGCTTTGATTTTGATAACTCCTAAGAAGGTTGATCTCTGCACAAAGCCTAATGACGCAAATTCCAAGCCCAAGACTGTGCCCCATAGGTTACTATTTTCCGTACTATCATGCCGTATATCCATCTCATAATTCTCGGAGTGCATCTACAGGATTTCCGCACTAGACGTTTGCACGCCATCAGCCCTGAAGGTGATCGCCTTAACATAAATGGTACAGACAAGTGGTTTCCTTAGGGTTAAATGTAGCCAGATTCGGTGGAGGGCAGCCACACCGAACTTACCCTAAACTATGTAAATAAATGCCTACTAAGAGAAGTGTTATTTAAATGATTTAATTCAATAAAAAACTATTGATGTGGCGGTACATTTCATTAGTGATGTGCTTTTGCGGGTACACATGTATGTACATTAGGGTGCATCACTCTCCATAAAAAAATATGTTACTATTTTTCCATCAAAATTATAAAATTTAATATATTTTAAGGCTTACATACGTGAGCTGCGTCGATTTAAAAACATTTTCAAAAATCGTTTTTTTTATAAATAAAACTAGTTTTTTTTTTAAATTACCTCTGGTGATTGATGAGTTTAAGCTTAAAAGGTCTGCATAAAAGTGCTTCACAATTTTATCAACAGAATGAGATTTTCGAGTTATTTTCAAATTGGCCCAGCTCACGTAAATCTTAAAATTTTTGCGAAATATTAAAATATAATAATTTTTGAAATTCCGTGGGGCACCTTATTGTAAATATTTATTTATCTAGGTATGTATTGCACAATTGCGGCATCTAAATTTGCCAGTTCAATGCTTAACTACGCTTAATTGAGTTCAAAAGTGTAAATTTGCAAATTAAATGTGCATATTAAAAATTTGCGGTGCGCCATTTGTTGTTGCTGCTGTTGTTGGAGCTAATAATATTTTTGTTGTTTTTTATTGAACGTTGCATTTTCGTTGAATTGTATTTTTAGAAACAAGTGCACGTTGATATATGTAGACATACAGATGCATAACTAAGTAAATGTGGGTATGCACTTACGTACAAATATATTTAATTACATACATACATACATACACTGCCGGCAAAGGGTATTGGCTTTTTTACAATGTATGCAACAATTTTTATTGCAATATTTTTCCGCCAATTTTGTATATTTTATAAAAAATGGGTTATTCTACAACAAAAAACATAAAAATATTACTTTTAAACTTTGTGCAAAACTCGCAAAAATTCAATAAATTTTCATGCAAATTTTCAAATTTTTAATCAGATTTGTTAGAATTTTTTTGAGTATGCAGATTTGTAGCCAAATCAGTTTTATAAATAAAGTAGAAGTTCTAAGTAGCTAGGAATTACCGTTGATATTTGGCAATTTTTTTTCCCGCAGTCTCTTCCATACAAAAAAATTTTTCGAAAATACTTTATATAGAAAAATTGCAAAACACCTTCAACAAAAAAATTCTCAAAAATCAATGCGATTTTTGACTAACTCCGAACTTGCATTTTTTATGCTAGAATTTAATGGGCTACAAAACTGCATACTCCAGAAAATTCGAAAAAAATTATTGAATTTTCGCGAGTTTTGCACAAAGTTTAGAAATTATATTTTTAAGTTTTTTGTTGTAGAATGTACCATATTTTTATAAAAAATTGGCGGAAAAATAGTACAATAAAAATTGTTGCATATATTGTAAAAAAAACAGCTGTGCCAATACTTTTTTCCGGCAGTGTACATATTTATGTATTTATTTATATGTTTTGTAAATAAGTTTAAATTATAGTAAATCGCTAGCTTAAAGCATAGACAGACGGCAACGTTGATCCGCGGATTAACGGTGCAATTGATCGGATCAAAATTGTGCATTGACAGACGGCAGTAATGCGGATTTACGAGCCGCGAGGTCGTAGGTTCGAATCCCATGGCCAGTAAAATATGAATTAAATTTTTTTTGTATTTATTTAAAGTTGTTTTTAGTTAGTTGTCTTTGACTTTTTTCTAAAAATTTAAATTAACTAATAATAAAATAAAAAATGTGCGGGCGGTGGGAGTTTGGGTTTTTGTGGGCAGCCCAACACGCTTCGGTGGGAGTCCCACACTCGGGGAAGGGAGTATAGAGACTAGCGCCCCCGGCCAGTGCATAAAGCATTTCCCTCTCCTACGAAAAAAAAAAAAAATAAAAAAAAAATAAAATAAAAAATGTGAAATAAAATAAAACAAACGAATCATCGATAAAGTAAAATTAAATATATTAATAAAAAAAATAAAAAAAATATTTAAGTAACAATAAAAACAAAATTTTTTAGGTAATCGCTCCAACCTAGGATCGAACCTGGGACCTGCAGGCTTGTAGTACTCAGCCCTCACCACTCGGCTACCTCGGAAGAAGTTGGCTGCTTTGTTTGCGTATTTGTTTGGTCAGAAAGCGTAGAACACAAAGAAATTTAAAAACTCGCATGGACATCCACCTTGTCGTCGATAATGCAGTCACCGTATTAATTCAAAGAAGTTCTTATTCAATTTCAATTGGATTCCTATCTGAGCTAGTATGGTGACTGCATTACTGATGAAAAGGTATATGTTCATGCTAATTTTGCCCTTTCTCTGTATTCTACGCTCTCTGAGTTTTGGTCAGTGTTGTCATCGAATATTCCCTTGATCCGAGTTAAGTTTGGGAATTACCTCTAGCACTTAATCCGGATCAACTGCAGTTAATTCCCGACATAATTCCGAATTAACGAGTTGATCCGGATCGACACTGCCGTCTGTTTATGCTTTTAGAGTGAAATTTGTAAATTCCAGTTTTTAAAAACTTTACAGGAGACAAGAAAAACTTCCTAAACTGATTTCCTTCAAATATTTTGCAAAAATTCAATTACATAATTTTTGAACTTATCGAATGATTTACGCTTTCTCTTGATTCAGTCCCTTCAGAAAAGATGCAATTGTAATTTTCTTTGATTTCTGTATTAAAATAATTAAAAATTGGCCTAGCAACTTTTCAATTTAAGCTAACGAAATATATAATTGTAGTTTCTTTTTATACAGGAAGAAGTAAAACTCCTTGTCTGTCCGCTGTACCGTATACCCCCCTGGTACTACCCACTGTTGTCCGTTGGAAGGCGGTTTTGAGCACTAAGCTCTATCGTACGTTCCTGTCTTAGCGCAATTCGTTGTAAGCTGTACCTGCTTGACCCCACTCCGGTGCTTCATTTAATCATTTAACCCAACCTCACCTCCCACCACTTTTGTACGAACTGTACGGCCCCACATGCCTACATTAAAGTCGAGAGTCAGGGTCGTGCGTACGTATTGTTGTCCGAGGTCTTTGTATGTCTCGACTCTTCTTCTATAGAAAGTTGCTTCAGCTACGGGCGGTGGCCTATATTTAGCGATTATTCCTGATGCGGCGGTGCTTGCAACTCCCCATTTGGTGATGTTTCCATCATTTTTGGCACTAAGTTCTGTATTGTACTGTCTCTCTCTGCATTGAAATATGGACAGCTAAACAGTACATGCTCCGTCTTCGGTGAAGTTCTGACCACAAGTCTCGCAATGGCAGAAGTCCTCGTGGTTAAAGGGCTGCAAGTAGTATATGTAGCAGCCATGACCAGTTCGTAGTTGGGTAATATTGAAGTATACTAATCCAGGTCTCGATATTAGATATGAGTCGATGTGTCCACCTGCCATTGGTAGCTGTGTCCCATCGTTCCTGCGATTCGGATAGAGCGTGCCTTCTTGGGAGCGTTCATTAGTTCAGTGTTGTGGAGCAGCCAGGAACGGTGAACGAGGTCTCCCTCGCCAGTAAATCAATAGGGTGCAGTCCAGCCACAACAAGGGCTGCATCTTCCGAAACCATCCAAAAGCTGAATAAACCCACATGCATAGAGTCTGTAGATTGACTTGATGCCAATGACCCGCATCGATTTTAGTACCCAGGTATTTAATTGATGGCTTCGAACGTAACGTACACCCCCAGACGCGGACCTTAGCCTCCTCTCTTACTTTACGGCCACTGATGAGTAACACCTATCCGTTCGCCTTAGTATGCTCTGGAGCTCTTCGAGTGTTTGCCGAATTGAAAGCATTTTTTACATCTAGGCTGACGACGAGGCAGCATTCAATTGGACCGCCTTTCCAGGACTTCCTTTCTAGAATCCAAACTTATTTGGTGCAAGACCACTCGTCGATGAAATAATGGCTCGGATGATACGATTTGCTATAATGCACTCCAGGATTTTCCTCACCGTATCAAGCATATAATTCGCACGGTAAGCAACTGGACCGCCCGCAGGCTTATTGGTCTTAGGCAGTAGAACCAGGCGTTGGACCTTCCAACGTGTATAATTGTAAGTAGATTTGTATGTAGGCTAAGTTGAATTGGCATACCGACACACTTACGGACTTATCCGGGCCCGTTGTGATACCACAAGGGATCTCAATAACCCCTCGCCGCCTCCTCCTGTGGAGTTGACAAATTTGGGCAAACGCTTTATGCCCGAAAAATCGCTCGTATCTGAAAAGGTTCCAGTGCCCATGTACCTCAGTCTACTCCGTCTGAGTGCGAGACAATCGCTAGGTAAGCACCTTACTGATTCAGTCTCCTACCTCGAGTGCCTCGTAGCTCCTACAGAAGTCACTGAACGACACCACGACTCGATCCGTGTGCCTTCCTAGGGTGGTATAACGAGTCAGCATAGCCAGCATAGGGAGCTCCCTGGCCCCATTTTTGGCCTCAAGAGTTTTCTCATATTGTAGGTTTCTGGCTCTTCTGCGAAGAAAAATTTTTGTTTGTTGATCTCGCAGGTGCCGAGCGGCTTGTTCAACCTCTTCCCAGACGGCGAAAGTGGAAGGTTAGTGCTCTTCCTTGCAAGCTCCCCCTCAATCTCACCGACTGGTATACCTCGGTTTTCCGGCACCCATACCAGGTGAAGAGTGAACTGCTCTACCATCACGCTAAGTGATCTGCGGCCATTCACTGCAGTTTGTACTCCTTGTTGTTTCGAGTACACTCGCCCTCTGTCTTTGTTTTCCAGATTGGATCCATTAGTGTAGAACTGGGAAATTCTGACTCCGTTGCCCCCTTCTAGAAATTTTTACTTTATACGCTTTTTCGAAAGTTGTTCTCGGTACGAAATAGTCCGTTCCTTCCGGCAGATTAAGTCCTTCCAGAAGCTAGCTATGAACGTAGTTATTCGCCTTCCAGCTAGATGGTTCTCGCAGTCTGATGGCCAGGCAACGGCATAATTGCAACATACATACATACATATACATAAGTCATATAAACCTCCACCAGTCCACCCCTGACCACTGACAACCCTCCATTTCTGTGTACTTGTCTCAATTAATTGGCTGTTTGGCGATTTTTCGTTGTGCACTGCGCCACACCAATCGCTATAGCAACCAACGTGTTGTCTCCAAATAGGCAGTAACCACTTTACATATGTACATACATTTAAACAAATGCAAACATTGCTCATTGTTGGCACCAGTTTTTGCTAAATATGCCAGCTAGTAGTCAGCCAACCAGCCAGCTGGTGTTGGCGAGCATAACAAGCGCTTGAGTAAGTAATTTGATGACGGTCAGTGACTAAGTTCGCCCAAAAGTCAATGCTCAAGTGTGGTAATGAAATTGTGAAATGTGATTTTGAAAAAAAAAAAAAAACACAAACAAAAATACAAAAAACAAGGCAACAAAAATTAAATATAGTAACTGGTAAGAAAAAATAAAATCGCATGTGTACATACATACTTACTATGCAGTATTTATTATCTTCATAAAATAAATGCAATGCAAAACCGTAAGTGATCTTAAGTAAAAACAAAAATGCGCGTGGAAAAATGCTCAGAGCAGAGTGAAATGAAAAGCAGCAAGCAGCAGCAGAGAATTGCCGTAAAGTGCTGTGATGTAAAGTGAAATGTGTAAAAAAGTATTGATATGATCCATATCCGTGGCAAACGCACATACAAACATGCATACAAATAAACTTACATAAATATTCATAAATATAGGTTTCTCTATAGATATACTACATACCTAAAAGATATACATAAGTACCTATATAAGTGCCCCTATAAAACTTTTAACGTTACACTTAAAGTAAGGTTACTTTATGTATGCATGTATGCGGATATGTACATATGTACATATATGTGTAGTATGTTTAACATACTCATATAGACCCACGTTTTTCCTGCTCATATTCTTATCTCCCCCTGTATGCAGTTAATGTTCCCTACTCATGTCATACGTATACGCATTAGTATTTTCCTATGTATGTATGTATGTACATTAGACCGTACCGTAAAATATTTTTGCAAGGCAATTTCGATTGCTTTTTTTTTGGCCGAGCCCTAAGGTCGCCCTTTTACATTTTTCGTTATATCTTCAGTATTTACAGTCGGGTTATAAAGTAGAATATATCGATTTTATTTATTTTTTGTTCTTAAGTTCACCTTCAACAAGTACCCCGTTGTGTTACTTCCCCGCCAGATTTCAGTCCTACCACCCTAATGTCAGTAAGTTAAAGTTAGCCAAAAATTATTAAACTTTTGCTAAGGAAGTATCTCAGTTTTTTTTTTATTCCAGAGTTCATTGAACTCAAGTCCTCCGTTGCATTACTAACCAAACAGATCTCAAGCTCCTTCCATCCTAATGTCAGTAAATTAAAGCTCGCCAAAAATAATTAAACTTTTTGGGTGGTATGCATTTCAATTTGAAGGTAATTTCGATTTTTTTTTTACCAAACGTAATTTATCAAAGTTTTTGTCGCGAAGAAAATTTTGTTTGGTTTGCAAGTTCATTGACCTCAGGTATCCCGTTCTAGCACTTACTCACCGGATCCCAGTTCTTATCACACTAGCGTACCGCCCTAATGTCAGTAAATTAAAACTCATCAAACATCATTATGTATTTGAATAAAGTTTGTTAATGCCAAATGTACGTAGGTGTCGAAAAATTCGGCAAAGAAATATAAAAAATTTTCCAATTTGCCTTGCGAAACTACTTTAAGCTCAGGGGTGTACGGTGAACCTTTTTTTGTTAGCTTGTAAGTTGGTACGGTCTAATGTACTTATAAGCATTTCATAAGCCTATGTACTCGTATGTGCCTTTTTTTTATCTAAACGTGTTTCACTGAACTCTGTTTGTCTGTCTGACTGCCGCCTATCTGTTTGTCTGTTTGCGTGCTTACTTGCCTACCTACCAGCCAGCCCGTTTGCCGCATATGCATTCGATGACAATTATGTTGCACACAATATAACAACAATAAGCACAGCGTAACACTAATACACTAGACATGTATGTACGTACATACATATGTAGATATACCGCTCATACAGTGATGCATAGAATTTTCGTCGATTCGTCATGCTTCGAAACAGTTTTACGCTTTAAGCTTTTGAAATTTACTCCCAGCAAAGTTTATTGGACCTGTTTTTTAAGGAGTTAACCTAACCTGAAAAAAAAATAAAAAAAAATTTATTTATTTATTCTACATAATCCTAAGAATATGCATGCAATTTTTTTTTGCTTTCTATAAATAACTGGAACTTTTGCAAAAAAAAAGGTTTTAAATTTCTTTTCTTGCATGGGCTTTCCGTTCTGAGATGGATTTTAGCCCTGATTTCCTAGACAGTCAGCAATTGATATCGTTTTGTACATATAGGTGGGCTCGTGGTTCCGTTCGTCGCAAAAACATACCCCATCAGCTACTGGTGTCGGCCTGTGAAGCTCCGTCTCTTCGTTTAACCGATCGCAATCGTTATCAGAATCTCAATTTGTCAATTGTTATAGCTGAATTAGTCCGTACTGCTGCCCAGTTGCCTAGTGCTTACAAAATCGCTCGGTAGATGCAGTCTTCAGTATTATGGAAGTTTATAAGTCCAACATACATTGGTACATAGTTTCATCATTCCTGCCTCCCATGCCAGTAGATTGATAGGGTACCGGCCAGCAATCTTATGCGTTGCGTCTTCCGAAATAGTTCGAAACGTGGAATAGACCCTAAGCGCAGCTAGCCTGAAATAGATTTAATTCCTCGACTGTATGCAGCTAACGTTGCAGTATTGCAGTTCGAGCCGCGCACAGGATAATTCTGCCGAAGAAATAACTCCAAGTGAGTTCAATCAGTTACTTAGACATATCGAAGCTTTGCAGAGCTTCGACTATTTTCTATCACCTTGTCGAGTTGAAAACTTTTTCGAAGTAGTGGTTCGCAACGAGGCAGCAATGCTACGGCTGCGGGCTTAGGTCGGCCATAGTTTTCCTTTTCCTTCTTTGTGGCTACTAAATCGTAATATTGGTGGGCATGAAATCAGTTGTTAGACAATTACCACGGATTAACGAAAAGTGGACGCTGATAACATGATCCATGTCTTGTCAATGAATCTATTCAAATTGAAATAGGCAAGAGAAATTTCAGCCGCTGGTGAAAATAACAGTTTCGAAGGGGAGCCCTTTGGCAATACAGCTTCCAGTGTAGGACCTGCACTACTAGCTACAAAGGCCCGTAGTGAGGTAGTCAATAAACAGCGCACGCTGAAAAAAAGCGCGACAGTGGCTACCCTAGCTATTTTCTCAACTCCTAGAGATTTAAACTCGATTGTCTATGTCTCTCTGTAGGGACTATAAGGCTATTTTGCGAAAGACAACTGAGCCTTTGTTCCACTATTGAATGGATTCGCCGTGGAAAAGGAATAAAGGAGGAAAGGTTAGATTAAAAGTCATGGACTTTATCGTTAAATGTGCCAGGAATAAAGAAAAAGTTGCGATTTTTTCATCACGAACTTTATGACAAATGACCGCCAGTTGCCAATATAACGACATTAAGGATAGGTGTAAGGTTAGGTTAGAATGGCTACCTCCAAAAGTGGATCCGTTCTTAGATAAGCTCCCATTAAGGGGTGGTTGAACGAGACTTTGACGGGTCTGTGTAAAAAACAAACTCTCTGTTCCAACAACAAAGCTCTACAAGTGGCTAATCTTTGTACTGAGATCCAAGGTGTTTACCACAGTTCAACAGCGGATGCTGAAGTGATTCCATCTCATTATCCTCCAATGCAGCCGTAGCAGTTGATGCTTGAGTTGATGTGTAGACTTGCCACCATGAATTCCGATAGGACCGATTAGAACTCCCGCCAGTGATGAGAGACTATAAGTAGATCAGTATTACTTTATGCAATATGAATGATTGTATTGGGGTTGGTACCATGCTAATAATCTTGGATAGAAATTCTGCATTATCGTCAGACGCTGGAGAGACACGCAGCGCAAAAACATGATATATAGGCACAAACCAACACTTCGTTAACGAGCACTATTTTGCAACACTGTATACGCCTACTTAGTAAGAACTTGAGCAGTTTTTGTGGAGGGCAAACATTTCAGATATTACCTGCAATTTTGTTGTTGTATTTGTAAGTATTTTGTAGTTCTGCAACAATGCCAAGCAAAGACTGGTTTCTCTACTGCCTCTGCTGGCTACTCATGAGCGGTGTAGAATGAAACCCACACACATACACATACATACATATTTATATACACATATATATACTTAGAAAAGAGCGAAATAAAAATCCAACATGCATATAAGTATACCACCTACCCGTAGGAAAAAATTATCAATTGAAAAAAAAAAACAACTTGCAGTTAGCTTTTTTTGCGGGTTTTCTATAAAATACATAAATTGTAGTTAGCTACAAAAAGCTAACTTGAAACTAGTTGAAAAGTAATGCAGACGCAATTGGGCGACTGCTTTCTTTAAACAAGTTTCTATTTAAATATCCTCCTACAAATTTTACTTCGAATACACTTTCTTTCTCCACTTCAAAATAATTTTGTTGTATGTACAGTCAAAGAAAATATACAGATAGTAGTGACCTTTTAGTTCCTTCCTAATCAAATTCAAGTTAACTTATAGTTAGATACATTTCCCGCAGGGTTACTACTACTGCACACTATATCACTAACGTTACGTAGTGGTTTACGTTTTTACGTTGCTTCAATGTTTTCGACTCGCTTATGGGCATCAATTTGTGTGAGTCTGATTTGTTCATTAGCCTGCAGTACACCAACACAATTGCAACAGCTATTCGCTGAGATCAGAGCGTGGCTATAGTGGTAGGTCTATATGTAGCCTCTCCATAGTCAGGCAAACGTGCAATGGCGCGACACCGACACAACTCAGTATGGCTTAGCCGCTGCTTCACTCAATTCAAGTTTTCAAGTCGTTTCGTTCAAGCGCGTTCTTCTCGAAGAAATTTAACTTTCGAAAGAATGCAACTTTGCTGAAAAATTTGAATGTAAACAACGGATATTTTGTTTCTGTTTTCTTAGGGGCATTAACGTTTTATTTAGGTTTTATTTTATTTTTGCAAACAGTTAGTTTTTTTTTTATACTTTTTAACGAGTTCAGTGTGAAGTGTGCTTGAGGCATGTAATTTTTTTTTTAAGTTTTTCTAAGTGTTTAACGTAAATCATTGTGCGGCTTATATGGGCATACATACATACATACATACATACATAGGTGCATATAAATTAGTGCATAAGCGAATGTGTTTATTGCATTTATTTAATGTTGTGCAAAGCAAAAGTGTTGTGCGCTTAGAAATCGTTGTTAGCCATCCGTCTATGCTGAGCGTGGCGTGTTTGTGTGCGCGTGTGTGTGTGTGTGTGTGTGTGAACGTTGAAGACGCCCCCCGCTAAAGTCCAAAAACAATCTAACACCAGCAACACTTACAACAATAACAGCAAGCGTTATGGATAACGCTTCAGTGAATAACTCGAATTTCCGTATTACATTTTCTTATTAGGGTTGTTCCGTTTAAAAGAAAAAAAAAAAATCACGAAGGTTTTGAATTTTTGACTGAAATGTAAAAATTTCTTTTAGTATACTTACGAATTGCGAGTTATCCAATTATTTATTTGCTTTCAAGTTTTACTTATTTTCGTTGTAAAAATTAAGCAATTTTAAAATTAACAAAAAAACTAATTAAAAGTGTTTTTTTTTTGGATGTTAGTGTAGAATAGCTTGCAAAAATTAATGGACTAATTGTGGCTATAACATAACGATCGACAGGTGGTGCGTGAATGAATAGACATATATACACCTGTGTATGTACATATGTTTGTGCACCTGTAAATCCATTCAAACTTGAATTTGGTAGACGTTTCTAAAATCGCAGGCACACCTCCCCGGGCTCCCCGTGCTAATCAAGCTTCTTACTCAAGTAAAGATGTATGTTTGCATGTACTATGTATGCATGTGTCTACGTGAACCCGTTTTATGCATTGTATTTGTAAACATTTGTTTCATTTTATTTATTTTTATTGTTTATTTTTTCTGTTTTTTTTTTTTTTTTACTTATACCTACGTTTGTTTGCTTGCTGCAGATCTCATTATTACTATATTTGTGCTAAAACGATTGATTATCAGCATCTTGCTATTATCCATTGTTTTCATTGTTTATGTTAAGGAATTGTAGCATTTGTTAGCCATATACGATATTCCGCAACGTACCGCTAATTCCAGACGATCACTAAATTATTCGACCTCTCTGCGTCATTTGAATACAAATGAGTAAAAGTAGCTGTCATGTATGTTTGTAAGAATAGAGATAAATATATGTATGTACGTCCGTGGAATATTTGCGAATGCTTACATTCACTTGAGCTCGTAGATGCATATCTAGTGCATGTAATAGACAGCAAATGCGCCTGGCCAAGTTTCGTCACCAAAACCGTTACCTTAACTATTTTATTTTTAAGATGACAGCCCTAGACTCTTGCTAAATTCGATCAATAGTTATTTACATTCAAATATTGATATTAATTTTTATAAGATGTAGTTGGCAACCATCTTGAGATACCTTCCATTTGATACCAATTTGTCTGTCGTAGTTACTAATTATTTTATGTAAATCTATTTTTCGATTTTCATAATACCTGGCAACCATATTAAGAAATAAAAACAGATTTCTCTTTCAAAATGTCTTGAGTTATCTTCTATTTTATACCCATTTTTATGCCGTACCATTTTTTTCAGTTTAAATCATTAAACCAGGTGGCAACTCTACTCGCCTTTTATAATAGTTGACAATCATATTTTAAGCTACCTTTCATGTGACATCCATTTGCCTGTCACACTAATTTTTTTTTATAAAATTATTATACTGGAGGGTAATCTACTAAATTTTTAGAATAGTTGACAATTATATTCTAAAGAAAATCTATTCAGCTAACTTCCATTTGATATCCAAATGTCTGTCGTACAATTGTTTTTATTTAAGTCATTAAAATAGTTGGCAACGGTATTTAAAAAAAAACGGATTTTTGATTCAAAGCCTCTTAAATTTTTATTCAAATCCTAAAAATAGATGGCAACTCAAACCATGTTCAAAAAATAAGGGATGCATCGTTCAAAATGTCTTAAGCTACCTTCCATTTGATATCCAATTCAACAAAATAAGTGGCAACTCTACTAAATTTTTATAAAAGTTGGCTACGACATTCAAAATAATGTTTTCTTTCTCTTTCAAGATATCTTAAGATACCTCCCGTTTGATACCCATAAACCAAATTTTATTGTTTAATTAATTAATAACCTTTTCAAACAGGTGGCAGCCCTTTTTGGAGTTTTTTGAATTAGTGCTCTCTAAGTCACTTCGATCGTTACAAGCTCATTACTTAATAGTCAATTTAACAATATTTCGTATGCTGTAATTTTATAAATAGGTGGCAGCTCAGTTAAAAATATAAAAATTTTTTAAATAAAATATTTTGAAATACCGCCTAGCACCGTTAGAAAAAATATATTAAACTAAAATTTAATAGGCTATATTGAGCCCTAACCGCCAAAAAGACGTAAGCGACATTTTTTCCAAATTTTATCTTTGATGCAGAATTGCATCCAGATGCTCTAGGAACATTTCTGCATAAAAACGAAAATTTTGGAAAAAATTTCGCTTGCACCTTTTTGGCCCTTAGGGTTCGATATAACTGCCTAACTGAAATTTATCTAAGAATTCAAAGAAGAATTGGTGATTTTTTTAATTTTTTTTCTAAATTTAAAATTTTTGTTTGGGCCCATGCTGAGCATTGCTTTTTTAATTAGTGCTACTTGGTGGGAGAGTTCCTCAACAGGAAATAGCATTCTACATTTGCCACTTTGCTTAAGCTACTTAACTGCAATAGCGCTACAGCTCTTTGATGTTCACGTCCTTCTCATTCGCCGCTACTGCAGTCGAATGAGTCATTTTGCGTTGACTTTTAATGATTCTACCTGCACAAATACTTCAATGACATCTGCTTAAATCCCGGCGCCAGTGATATAACAAAACAAAAAATTGCAACCACTTAAGTAAGTGGGCCATTGTCGCTCCAAAAGACTTGGCGTTTTGAAAGCCGAAACGGATATCAAATTTTTCATATTCTACTAAAATTTCACAACTCCAAAAACAACAACCAAAAATGTTTTACAATTGAACAAGAAACCTGCAAGGTATGTGCAATGTCCGTCCGTTAAAGTGGCAACAGCCGATAAGACGGAGACGGAGCCGGAGACGGAGACGGAGCCGGAGACGGAGACGGAGCGTCAGTCAGCCAGCGCGGCAACGCTTACTACTTGAATATGAAATATGAGCTTATGAGCTGGGTAGCCCAGTCATTATTGCATGCGTACTGCAAGCTACTTAACTGCAACATTTACATACGGTTGTGCAGATACATACATACATATTTACATACATACCTACTAAGTATATTATGTTTGTGCTAGAAAGATAAATTTATACTGACATTAGCGTTTGCACTGACATGTTTCCATTTCTTTCTTTCTCACTACTTTTTTGTTGCAGTTTCGACAGCATTCGGCGCCTATGACGGCGGAAAGTAAGTAAGCATTACTACTAAAACAAAGAGAAAGTTATGTCCAAAGCAACGAATGCTGGTAACAGCAGATCAACAGAAGACGAAGAAGAACGTGATCGCCTGGCAGATGGCGCAGAATCACGCTTTTCCTATAGATCCAGGCCTTTTTCTAGTCTTCCGCGTCGCTTTGCTTCTACGAAGAATTGCGCAGTGGCCGATGATGAACGTATGAGAAATGAGAGTAATAAATTAAGAGATTCCACAGCCAGGAGCCTCTCCCGGTTAAATACGCTTACCTATGATAATGCTGCTATGGAATTAAATGAGAACAGCTCCAGCAGCACACAAAATGGCTTTCAAAGTAGTGGCTTAAGTATTTTTCCTCAAATAAGTAAGAGTTCCGGAGCAATCTCCTTGGAGATGGAACAACTGCACGATATCAAGCGTGAAGATGTTTTTGAGCAAGAAGAGTCCCTCTCCCATTTGTCATGGGACAGCAGCAGCAATGAAAGAGTGTCTATGCATTCCTCGGATGCGAGCGTTAGCTCTAATGACGACGATGCCACACGCGTGCTAAATGAGCTAGACACGATTTTGGACATACACGGTGCTGCACAATTACCCACAACCAATTCATTAGAAACTAAAGTTGAAGACTGTTTATTGGATTTAGATAATTATCTAGAAGAGATGGATGATTATAGTTTTAGCAATAACGATGAGGAAGACAAAAGTTCCGTCGAACTGGAACGTTCACCAAGCCCCAAACGGTTGCCTACACGCCAACGCAATCGGTCGCTGCCGATGAGCCGGAAGAAATGCGCACAGTTGAACAGAGAAAGTGAAAGTTTCGAGGAGGAAAGCGCGGATCAGCGAAGTAGCCTGGAACGTGGGCAGCCTGTGAGACGCACAATTACGCATGCGAAAGAGAAGCAGTACGAGGGTAAGTGCCATCATAAGATTTCTTGCTTAGCCCGCCCATCTTAAAGTTGTTCGAACTTTCATTTCAGATCTTATGGAACACTTGGAGCGTATGCCGTTCGACGCTACACGCTTACCAAGCGAAGAAGCATTCACTGAATTATTCATCACAGAGGAAAATAGTGGTGGGAACACAAACTTACAGGCATCAGCGGCGCCTCCTTGGCAAGCAGAGGAACTGACGAGTGCTGCGTCCCAACAAACCTCAGCTGGCGACGATTGTTTAGAGTATGCAGCACGTCGCGCCGAAGAGGTATGCACTGATTTCACAGAGCACCACAGTATTAGCACAACAACTACACCAGCGGACGCTGCAACAGCAGCTACGCCAGAGCCACAGCCTCTGCGACCAGAGCTCAGACGTTGCTACTCGCAAAATCGCCTTAGCGCCGCCAGCACAAATAGCCGCAGTGAAATGCTGACGCAAGAGGACATCTTTAATAATTTACTACTACAAAACGATAACAATAGCAGCACTTTGGTGAATAGACCACGTCAGTTTGGTCGTCGTGCTGCTGGCCAACCGGCTGTGCTGTCCGTAAGGCCCGACATATTGGAGGGCAATCACAGCTTCGGCGCAGCTAATCACAATCAACGCCCACAGAGCGCGCCCGCAATAGCTGCGGGAACCCGGCGAGCGCATAACGGTGTACACGCGACGACAGAGGAGCGACATTCGAATTTCTCCGATTTAAGCTCAGCGCATAGCTCCCGCAATTCCAGTCCCATAACCATCGTTTCCAGCACAGATTCAGCATCAACGTCGGCTTCGACTAATGGTCATACCGCAGCTATGACGCTCGTTACGAATGGTCATTACGAGCATACGAATACGGAACACAATAACAGTACACATGCGAGCGCACAGGGCAGCGAAAACGAGTGGCCGCATATGTGCTCGCGTGCTTTGGCGCTTGTCTGCTGCACAGTGGGGCTATTCAATATGTCGCGCTTCGCTGTGCTGACCATAGAGTATGGTGGCAATTTTGTGCTACAATTCTTTTTGCTTTCAATATTCTTTGGCATACCGCTATTCCTGCTGCACGTCTGCTTGGGTTCCAGAATTAAGGCGGGTCCCATTTCGATGTGGAAGATTAGTCCCATATGTAGAGGCATCGGCATCGCTTTGGTGTTGGTGCAATGTTTTATAGCAATTTACTCGACAGTGGCAGTAGCATGGTTGCTCATCTATTTGCGAGATGCGATACCCAATAAGGGTCATACCGGTTATTTGTGGCAGGAAATGATAAATCCCTATCGGCGGGCTACTAATGGCTCCGCCAATCTAACAGAGAGCATCACCGATTATTTTAATATTGTGGTGCTGCAACGACTACATCTTTTTAAGTCTGCGGATGGGGGAAATGTGCGATTTAGAGTGAGCAATCGGGTGAGTCTAGGCGTTTAAATTATTCAATATTACAGTACTAAAATTGACTTTTTATTACAGCTGGCTTTCAATTTAGCCATCATTTGGGTGTTTGTATTCTTGATACTGTGTAAAGGACTGAAGTCGTTCGGTAAAGTAGTCTTTCTACTAACCATTTTACCGCTCATAGCTTTGGCTGCTGTAATTTGTAAGCTTCTCTATGTCGTGGATCCGGCAAAGCTGCAGGTGAGTCGACGACCGTCTTTAGTTTTAGGCCACCAAAGTGAGGTATAGGAATACAGAAAGCGGCAAACGGTTGGAGACGTCTTTGAATGTTTTTTTTTCTGCGGAATCCGTGTTTACCGATATTATTTTGTCTAAAAATATGTGTATGTATATTAGGGTGGTTCTTAAATATATCACCAGCCTTTTATTTTTTCTTACATACGAAATAAAGACATCCACGAACGAAAATTTCAATAAAAAAAAAATGTTACTTTTTTCAAATGGTGGTGGCAACCCTCAAATATTTTTTTTTTTAATTTTAAAATTTTTGTGGATGTCTTTATTTTGTACGTAGAACAAAAGAATAAGGTGCGCCAAACAAAATTGAAATGTTGATATCTTGAGGACCACCCTAACGTATATGTTCGGTTGGCTCGTAGTTGCAGCCCATGTAATAACATGACTGATGGGTCAAAAGCTATAGAGCGTATATCAGACTACCTTGGGAGTTAAAGATCTTCGGAATTACATAAATTGAAGCCCTCAAAAAATTAGTACCACTGGCGGAAATAGCCCTTTCAATACCATCTTCTCAAAAGCTGTGTCATTCAGAGGCAGACGAGAAGATGCTTTTCAAAGCAAATAGGGTCATTCCAATAGTCTGGCCATTTAGAGAAAGGCGGGAAGGTGCGTTTCAAAAGAAAATAAAGGCCCCAGATAGCCCTGCAATTATAAGGCATGTGAGGAGATGTGTTTTCAAAGCAAGAGAAGTAAAATAAAGATCCTTCAGTAGCCCGACCATTCGAAGGCAGGGATCCAAATAAAAATCTTCCAATAGCCCTGCCATTTGAAGGCAGAGAAGACTGTTGTGTGTTTTCAAACCAATGGAAGTCAAATATAGATCCTCAAAAACACGCTTCCAATATCAACGAAAGTCAAATAGTAGATCCTCCGAAAATAACCCTGTCGTTCGAAGGCAAGGGAGAGGGTTGTTTTCAAAGCAACGGAAGTAAAATAAAGATTTTCCAAAAATTTGTACCTGCTGTGACTTTCCCCTCCTAAGAGAAGCTAAGGAATCGCTCCTAGATTTCTTGGAATTTTTTATGCACTTTACATTACCAAAAGCATAACACACTTTACAGTGTCATAAATATGTGGTACATTCCTGTTTCACCAACTAAATATTTATTTCATTCCACAGAATATTTTTACCCAGACAGACTTTAATGACTTCTTCGAAAACTCCCAAATGTGGGTAGCTGCCGCACAAGAAGTGTTCCTAACCTGGGGTCTACTCGGCTCATCCGTGATCTCCATTACAAGCTGTACACATGCGGCTGGACGTAGCGAAATATCATTGCGACGCGATGCCATCTTTGCAATTTTGATTACACTCTTCAGTCTGTGTGTGGCGGCGCTATTGGGCACATTGTGTGTGCAAATATTGAATCAACATTCCTACATCTATGTGCCGGGTTCGTTTGGTAAGTTATTGTGCAATCTCAAAGCCCATGCAAGCATATTATTTACTGCCACTCTTTCCGCAGAGACGCTCGAATCTTCCAAGTCTGTGTTCTCACCAGAGTCAATAACCAACTTGAACATACTCTCGATACCGGCCAAATGGATGCCACACTATTCCAGCTTTATTGGCGAAACCTATCGGCGACAGCTGTTTCATCAGGAGAGTGGCTACCAAGCGCTACGCTTCATCAGCGAAGTCTTTCCAGCCACATTGATACTATCACACGCGAGCGTGAATTGGGTTTGGGCTGTGGTAGCTTTTGCTGCCTTAGCTGTGCTGGGCTTATCGCAGTTGTGTGCTATGTGGAAGCCGATTGCCAGCGCATTGGGCAACTCAATCAGCGCTGTGTTGTTGAGTTGTGTTACAGCGCTGCTGTTGGGTGTGCCATTCACCACCGAAATCGGTGTATCAATACTCTATTACATGGATTTGGTATTGGGTGGCTCTTGGTTTGTGGCGATTTTATGGACAGCGCAGATATTTGGTGTATTCCTGATACGTGGACGTCCCTATAACGGCGATGATTTAGTGAACAACTTGAAGTTCTCAAACACGTTATCAGCATTCACGGCGCTGGCATGGAATGTCTTACTGCCGATTGGTTTGATAACGCTCTCGGTGGTTAGCTACAAGACTTCGTTTTCCAATCAATTTTACTATTGGCGTGGAAAGTCATACTTTACGTATTGGGCTAGGAAGGTGGCAGCCGCAGTGCAAATTGGTTTTCTGCTGCTCATACCCGTCACAGCGATTGTACAAATTTATCGATATTTGTCAAATGGACCGCCGGATATACTGGATGTGAGTATTTGGTGTGAAGATGGGGATGATAAGTTGTTGTGAAGTGGGTGTGATAGTTACGATAACAACTGAGCCTAATAATTGATAGTCGGTAGTTCGAATCAAGTTTTTTTACCGATAATTCCAGTTAAAAGTCGATTTTAAGTAAACTTAGTCATCGAAAGCTTAGTTTATAAGGCGAAAAAGGTGGCCTAATTACGATGCGAAGGCAACAAATATATCAAGATTAAGCCATAGTTTTTGACATAAATCCTATCTATCCTATGATCTTCCACCCACGCACGCCGACATATGAAATTTGTTTGTATTCATGTATACAAAATTTTGTTGAAAAATGTTTTGAAAACTTAAAAATTTTAAAGCGCCTCTTTAGTTACGATTGAATTGAACCGGGGATGTTACTTCAAAATACGATTTTTGGCTAGCTCAATATCAAACTTTATCGATTTATCACAAACTGACTCATCTTTTTAACCAAAAATTTTATTATTCATGCGATTCTACTATTACTATTTACTATTTTTTTTGATTTTTTTAATGATTTAAAAACAAGTTTAAAAATATAAACAATAAATAAAATAAAAATTAAGCAAGCTTCATTAGTTGCGGCGACAAAAATATTCAATATTTTTTTTTAATCGATATAAATAAATGGCAATTAGCCAAATATTTCCGATACACTTTAGCTTGAAATTAATCGAAATTTCTAAAACTCGGTATAAATACCGATTCTTTTTGACCTTGTTTGCCATTTTCAACCCGATCATGCGATTGAAATCAGATATTAATCCACGATGTTCCTATTTTGCGTAAAAATTGTTATTATTATATGAAATTGAAGAAATACAGTGAAGTAAAAAGTTTAAAATTAATCGATTACTCGATAGTTGGAATAAAATATCGATTTCTTTTAAAGTCGAAGGCTTTTCTCGACGCGCTTATTATTACTCTTTTAATTTTGCTATTTAAAAATGTGGTACACTCAACTCGATAACTGTTTTCCTCCCGTTTACAATTTTTTTGAAATTTTTTGTTGTTTTCGTCAAATGCGATGGGAATTAATCAAATATAATCGATACACTTTAGCTCTAAACTAATCGATTTTTCTAAAACTCGACATAAATATCGATTCTTTTGAAACTTGCTCACCATTTTCAATCCGATTATGCTATTCAAATCATATGTTTTAGCATTCTATTATTCCAAATTTTAAAAGAAAGATATGGTTACTTTGAAAATTAAAGAAATACAGCGAAGTAAAAATGTTAAAAATTAATCGATTATTCGATATTTGGAATAAAATATCGATTTCTTAGAAACTCGAGGGCTTTTTTCCACGCGTTTACTACTCTATTTAAAAATTCCATTATTTTTTCTCCCCTTGCAGCGCATCCAACTTCTCTATCGCCCTGGCAACAGCATACGCGAAATTCGCAACAGTTCCTCTAGCGATCGCAGTAGAACAGATTTCGCACGACCTGGCAGCAATGGCGCCGTTGGAAACCTAGAGCTAAACTCCTATCAAGCACAAGATGATGCACCACCGAAATATACGCCACCACCATCTTACACCACAGCAACTGGTGCACGTTTCGCTAAGATCTTACGACAGAGCATCAGGCGTAGCGTGAGACGGTAATTAAATCATAAAGTCGATCCTACCTTGGGCCACGCAACTCACTTTTTCCCCCTTGCGTTTCTTTCCACTTCCTTAGTGTACTTGGCGATCGTGGTCGCGCACGGCCCATCCTTAGCATTGACTCGGAGAGCAATCAACCTACTACATCACTACATTCTCACCATGAAGCTGAGAGTCCACACTACACTAGCGCTGATATACCGATCAACAACACAGCAGCGTTCTCATCAGATCAATCGCACAATTTCGCCCGCAACTCAGGCGAACAGATGCAACGTTCCCATTCGCTGGGCCGCAAGTTGACTACAAAGCATTCGAATCAGCAGCATCACAACACCATCAGTAGTGGTGGTGGTGGTGTTGGTGGTGGTCAGCGCAATTTGCGTGAGCCCTACACTGCTGACGATGTGGTCACTGTACTGCGTTCGACCTCAGCTGTAGCGGCACAAACGCGTCCCGAAACAGTGGCGATTGTGTCACCTTCGACCCCCGAACTGAGTGATCTTTCATCCCACAACTATTCATCTTTTCGTTCGATTGAGAATTTGGTGACAAATGCAGCGCCGATGGCGCGTAGTGCAGCCTTTGCAGCAAGAGGGACGTCTATGGGCAGCAACGCCGAGAATGATGATGTCGGCGCCGACGAAAGCGGAAGTAATACATCTGTGATTTAAGTAAAAACAATAGAGAAAAAAAGCTAACAATTTTCGTACATACAGATGTGTGTATGTATTTATTTGTAGGAGTACTGCTACATGTGTAAATATATATGTATCTTTTAAATGCGTATGAGTGTAATAATTATGATAAATAATACTATTAAATATATGTACTAATATTGAGGAAATATTACAAATGTGGATATATACTTATATTTTTTATAATTCTTCTTAATAGAAATTTTACAATTGACCACATATTAAATTTATTCACAGCGTATCAGTGTGTGTGTGCGTAATATATGTATATCGCTTGACACCTTTCTTTTGCCCCTTTAACTACATTAATTAAGTGTAATTAGCCTTAAAATTTTCTATCAAAGTGCCAAACCACATCTAAGAGCCCCATTTCATGAGTTAATTAAATTAAAAATTTCTCACCAAGAAATGATTTCTGCGCGTAACACGCTCGCACATACATACATACATATGTACATGTATGTACACTAGAGTGGTCGGTCCAAAATTGTAGGTGCAAAAGTAAAGTCGGAATTTTAATGTTGCCACCCCCTAGGATTGTTCTATACCGCAAAAAAATATATCCCTATTTTTTATTTAGAAAAAAATAAATAAAATAAAAAATAGGGAGTGCTCAAAGCGCTCGAAGTTTTTCATGTATTTTATATGTAGAAAAACAACTTTTCGTAGAAATTGTGTAGAATTCTTTAAAATCAATATTTTTAGATCGGAAAAATAAGGGTATATTTTTTCGGTGTAGAAAAATGCTAGGGGGTGGCGGCATTAAAATTCCGACTTTATTTTTTTTTACCACTCTCTAATGTACACTTGCAGAATCACGAATCACGCATTTAAAAGGAGCCTGTTGCAAGTAAGTATGTATGGATGTACATATGATGCGCAATAAGGTTAACGGCGAAATCCTTCTATATTAGGGCTGCCAGACTCGATTTTTTCCGTCTTTAAGCACCACAAAGTTCTATTTCAAAAATTCGCCATTTTGGAGCCAGTTTGGGAACTAAAGTCTCGGGAGCGTTCTGACAAAGAACGCAATGGTAACAAATCTTCTCAGAGCTATTAACGAATAATGGTAGCGAGAACAAAATTTTTCTCATAGCGTTGCATTAGTTGGAAATGTTTCAATATTAAAATGAATCAAAAGAGAACAGAAATTATGCAAATTAAGTCAACAAAAGACTTAAGTCACGAACCTTTCTTGAAAAGCAAATTGAATTTGTTCCATAAATGGGCAGTTCACCGTAATGACAAAAAATGTGGAAGTTGAAATGATCCAAGTTTCTTCTGTCTTAGAATAAACAATTATGGTTCTCCCTGCAGAACAAACTGTTGTTCTTATTTGATCATCCTGGAAAACGTTCTCGATACTTTCATTCTCATTGGAATCGTTCACGAAAGTTTCGTTCTCATTTTGTTCCCTTTGAGAACATTCTTGGGATTTTCGTTCGAATTTTGTTCTCTACAGAAATGTCCACGAACCTTTTGTTCTCAATGTGTTCCCGTTAAAATTTTTCTCAATACTTTTGTTCCCATTTTGTTCTTTTGCAGAAATAAATCAAAAACGGAGCGCGTTCTCGGCCCTTAATTAAAACTCGAATATCGAAGCTTCGAATATCGAATTTACCCATCCCTACTACGTATTGTACCACAAAACTATATTGCTTATACCATCAGAAATTACTTCAAAGTAATGCAACGCTAGAACCAAAGCAAGTGCACTTATAAGGAATGTATTGACATCATATTCACTTGTACCTTCGATTTTGATTTGGATGATATCTAAGTGTCCTGGTCGATGGGTTCGGGCTTATGACAGCTCTACTCTATAGGTGGGTACCAGGATGATTAATATTCCAGGGCAAGCAAAGAAATTTCGATTTTTCTTTTTCTCGCATTACAGTACATTTTTGAATTTTCACTACACGCTAAGGAAGAACGGGAATTAACCACCAGAGTGGCTTCCTAACTAGCAAATCCACAATTGACCATGATTTTTTGAAAAAGCCCTAGATAAGCAAATCGGTACCAACAACTCTTTCGCCTATTTTAGGATCATGGAACATACAGGTAAGGATACCGAGAAAACTGCTGCTCTAAACTCGCGCTCTATCCTTAGATCGTCGGTGTATTAGTGACAGGCAGATGTATATATCCAATTACCCATTTCCATCGAACTAGAAAGGGCCTGGGAAATTCTCATTCTGGCAGTTAATATTTATGCATCCCAGTCTTCTCTACAAATATATATTCTTAATCAGTATTCGGCCAGAAAACGCACGGCGAATGAGGTTGTATTGGCACCGATAGCAACTTAAAAAAACTTCAAGTTTTGATGAACGATTTGAATTTATCGACTTCGACCGAGACCAAAAAAACTACGCCAATTTCCTCACTTTTTTGTGAATTCCGTTAGTGGCTCTTCCCAAGAGCACACAGATCTTTCTGCGCTTGATCCCTTTATTGTATTCGTGAGTGCCCTTGCATTCGTTGTCCACTTATAGGTGCCGACATGTGCTATCCATAAATTTGTTTATTGAGTTTGACTAAGTCCATGCCATTATAAAGATCATAGCCATGCAGAGTTCTATTTAATGGAGTCTGCACACATATTTTAGAATTTCTCACTTTGGACTTCTTGCCATCAAAATATCTTGCAATTAGGTCCGCCGACGAGTTAGCCAAAAGAGAGTTTCTAATCTGTTGGCGAAGCCCATACCTCACATGGAATGGTTTATCGCCGTCTCCACTGGCCAATAGCCTACTTCAAATGTTAAGATTTAATGAGGAACAAGAGATCCACTTTAATAGAATACAACTTCCTGCGGGATCTGTCCAAACATAGACTTCAAAAATTCTCAATTTTATTTATCAAATAAGCTGGTTGGTTTTAAAAACTTTTAATTGTAGTTTATGGTATCGAACGCCAAACCACTATGAGAAGTACGCTGTGTGCTTACAGGAAGGCCCTCAATGAAACTTAAGAAAATTAAACCCTAGCCTCGCAAGAGCAGATCAACTGTGCAAGAGAAGCTCATGAGATTTCATGTTGAAGACAGCTGTTGTATTATTGATTAATTATTATATTGTCCGCCAGCTCATAGAATAGCGTTTCTTTAAGACCCTGCCTAGTATCGAATATTCCTACTTATTTTATTAACTTTAGAAACTTCCTTGAGTTCGTCAGATTTTTACTCACGGTCAGAATTACCTTGCAAGGTTCCTATGCAGGAACTGTTCATCCATCGATCGGAAAGCATGCAGTTGCATACGAAAGTGAACTCAGGAAATTCCCTGCTTCATGTTTCATGGGACGCATACGAACGCCAAATACTAGTTTGAGGTTAAGTATATAGGGTAGGATAGCTAACGGAAAACTGCCGGTAGCTCACCTTCTTCAAATATTTTGCCAAACTTCGACCCTATCCGTGCACATGTTCGCTGGATCACTGTGCGCGAGGGATTTTCTTTCCCAATCACTCCTTGAAAGGATATGTGTAGAAAGAATTATTTGGGAGCCAGCATTGGTATGTACCGATCATTTTCCTCAGGTATGATTTCGTAGTTTAAAGAGATCGTCGAGCGCCTATACGCCACCACCCAGAAGACAGGCTTAGTTCATAAATTTTGCTGAAAGAAGCGTTTGTTAAAAATTTAAAATCGGAAATCAGCGGAGGACAGTGATACCTCGTCTCTACAGCTACGACAAAATTTAGAAAAATGTCTCCGGTTTTGAAAACTGATAGGAACCGGTGGGAGTTTCGAGACTACGTAACCAGCTCAGAGTGTTCCTGCAGTCGTGGATATGGAGATTGAAGGAGCTACTACGAGCCACGTATAGAATGTAGGTCTACTGGGGCTCTCACGGCCTTAAGGAAAGTTTTTCGACATGACACATCCTCTTCAAAACTAGGCCAAATCGAGGTCAGTATGTTGAAAACTCTGAACCCAGGGGCATCTTTTGTGAAAAATGTCGATCCAAAAGCGAAATACGCGCAGTTATCTGCTACCGCGCTGTGAAGGAACAACCTCAAGTTGAGATTTTTAATGAGGTTAAAACTGTTTATGGTGATGGAAGGGGAATGCTAGCAATGGAAGTCTGCCTGCTGTACGATAATGCCAGACCGCACACGGTCAATGCCACGAAAAAATTCCTGCACTCCTTTGCACTTGGCGCCTTCAGATTACCATCTGTCACTTTTCTGAAGAACCGCAGTGGACGAAGCTACAGACTTGCCAAAACACGTCACTGCGGACAGTGAACGGATGCTTTCTGATGTTGCCACAATATCGCCTGCATAACTAGGCTCAAATGCTCCCCGTTAAGGAGCACAACACAATGCTCTGCAAGCAATTCCTAATAGGGTGTGACCGACAGCATACCGACGGGCCATAAACGGAATTCACAGCGAATCAGTATCAACTTACACTGACTCTCGACCTGTAAATGCCGTTTTGGGAGCACAACCACCTGACGTGTACGAGACAGAGTTTCCCGTCTGCCTCGAGCGAGTCGAACCACAATAGCCCAACTTCGTCCTAGCTACAGCAGCAAGTTAAACTCGCATCTGAGCTGAATTGATGCAGATGTGCTCAACGAGTGCTCGTCAAGCGGAGAGATACCCCGCGACTCGAGACATCTCTTCGCACGCCCCTTAAAATCCACTTAGATAACGCCTATGTCCCTTCGGACAAACCCCATCGAGGCTGGGTCTCCCATTAGTTGAGCTTGACGACAACGATTGAAATACAAAACCGATCTAGGCGGGGTTCAGTAGCCATTACAACAACAACAATCTAACTCATAAGAGCGCTAACTATTTGGATTTACCGCAAAGTTTTTATGCGTCAAAATCCTCTCCTAGAGGGAACTGTATTGAATGCAGTTTTAGTAGGACTCTAGGAACTTTGTGGACTAGAGGGCAATGCTCTTGAAATCAAAATGGAAAAAACGATTTGAAGGTTTTACAATTCGCTATAAGATTTTACCTCTCCGAATACTGAACCCCAGAGAGTGACACCGGGGTTTGTACAATATTGCATTCTTGAACGATCCGCAAGGTTACGCTTTCAGTCTTGTCTACTATGCAGAAAAACTGTTATAAAGAAGTACTGTAATTCATCTCAGTATTTGAACGCGCGAAGCATTTTTCGACTATCCGCTAGAAAACATATGCCAAGCAATAAGTATGCCTCAAGCACACAAATAAATTTCAATTCCGTTGCTGACTGTTACAAATTGTGCCAAAGTAGTTGCCTCTTTGTTGAGGGCACGTTCTATAGGCACTTATTAAGTATGTATGTATGTATGTATGTATGCATAGCATCCGTGTTGCAATCAAACTTGGGCTAAGTAATGTGCGGCTGCGCTGCATGCGATTGCGCCTTTTTTTATTATTACTAAAATGCTATGACAATAACACTTAACATTTAATCCCTCGATCGAAATAAAAACGGTGTCTGATCTTTTATTTGTTTTCTCCTTTATTTATGTAGTTTACTAGAGTACCACACCACCGAATGAATGTGTTGGACTAACTGCGCGTCATTTTGCATTCGCCAAGCGCGCATATGTGCATATGTCACATTTCTTAAAAAGGTATGGAAAACAAAACAAAGTAAAAAGCAAAAAAAAATAAATAAATAAAAATTACAATAACGATAATCCGATTAGAGCCATTCTGGACGCGAGCAAAACGGAAGTGATTGTGATAGCGCAGAAAAATGCGAGCAAGCAGACGTTTTCATAGATGGCGAAGCGATTTCTAGTTATTGAAGCAGCAGCAGTGAAGTCTAAGTAGAAGAAATTGTCCCTAACTTCATTAAAACTAAGCTTACAGTACCTACTTTGAGCGAACTTTGAACTTTGCTTCCGTTTCCGCAGGCAAACAAAATGATTTGTTGCTTTGTCATCGACATCACCTTTAGACTACATACTGGGTTTGCTTCTGCTATAAAAAACAGGAAAATACTCAAAAGTCTTAATAGCTTTTCACTCGATTCTCCCGAAAAGTTTGCAATGGGCTCGGAAAAAAACGCTCGAAATGGAGTGAAAATTTAAGCAGAGGTAGAGGAACTGCAATTTTTATTGGAATGGATTTAATTTCAGGGACCGCAAATAATGATTACATATTTTTTAAATTTAACTCAAAAAAATCCTACTGAAATAAAAATGCTGCAGGCATATGGAGTAAACCAACATTCTCTCTGTTACTTGGATTACCTTCAGCAGCTCTAATTTTATTTTTATTTTTTTAATTTTATTAATAGTAACAAATTTTAATAATTAGTTTTTAATTTCATTATAAATAATAAAAAATAATAAAAAAAATATAAATAAATAAACAAATATTAAATAAATAAATAAATATAAATATTTTTTTTGTTAGAAAATAAAAGTTACATTTGGGTATTATTTTGCAATTCAAATGCTAGAGGTAAAGATATATGTATATAGATAAAGGTAATGGTGGTAATGGCAATGGTATTGGTAAAAGTAGTTGTAGTGGTAATTGTAACGGCAATGGGAATAGTACTGGTAATGATATTGTAATAGAAATGGTAATGGTAATGAGAATAGTAAGCTTCATATTCGATTGCGTTACCCTTCCGTCGTCCTTTTCGTAGCGTCTGCCTTTTGGTCTTAGTCTTCATATTCCTATTCGTATTCGTTTTCGTATCATACGTCTTAGGTCTTTGTAGCCATATTCATATTCGTTTTTGTCGTCTTCTTAATTGTCTTCGCCTTTGTCTCGGTCCGGCCTTGGTGTCCTCGTCCGTCTTCCTCAAAGCAAAACACGTGAAACGATTCCTAATGACTCGTTACCTTGAACCCCACATTGTCGCAGCAGCCACATGAGTTCAAACTCATTGCAATTTTCAATGGAATTGAACTTGCACTTATATACCTAGAGAATTCTTAAAAGGCACGAACGGATATCAAGATCTGGGGGCTGCTTGGTTGCCACTGCAGACCTCTTGACACCGCAAAGCACTTGTTTACCGAAACCTTCACCATTGAAATAGCCGCTTCACAGGCACATTTTCACAAGTTGCCGATTTTTTCGTCTCTGTACTAGTTTGGACCGTCGCTGATGACCACACTGAATAGCTTGCTGTCGAGTCAATCTCACCGATAATAGTAGACAATACTACCGTGTTTTCATTGGAACCTGTTTTTACGTGGTAGGTCCAAATTCCAGCGCACAACTCATCGCTGGGAGGGGTGGAGTATAACCGTCCAACCTTAACTGCATAACCAGAAAAACGGCTATACCTCACTGTAAAACATGGCAACATATAAAGAGTCAACACCCTCCGGGACACACGTCACTGTTAATAGCTATAACTTTGAAGTAGTGAAGGACTTTTCCTACCTAGGATCAAAAACGCCAGCCTGCAGATCAAGCGAAGAATAACTCTTGCCAACAGCTGCTGCTTTGGGCTCGGCAGGCAATTGAAAAGCAGAGCCCTCTCTCAACGAACAAAAATTACAAGTCTACAAGTCTCTCATCATGTCCGTTCTTCTATATGGACGTTCTTCGCGGGTATAGGAGGGGATGGAATGATGAGCTGTATGAGCTTTTAACGACATGGACATAGTTAAGCGCATAAAAATAGGTACAGCGATTGCGCTGGCTTGGACTAGTTGTACGCATGGTGACGACGCTCCGATGAAAAGATTGTTCGGCTTCGCACCCATGGGTGGCCAACGAAAGCAAGGGCGCCCGCGAATAAAATGGAAGGACCAAGTGCAGAAGAACTTGCCTGCACTCGGGATAAGCAACTGGCGCGAATTCGCACAATCTTGTTTCCACGGTTTCTTAAAATGACTTAACATACAAACTGTATATAGATGCAGTTATATATCCAAAAATATGGTCTTTCGATTGGTGCTATCAGTTTTTGGATATATTCTTTAATAATTTAAAAGATATTGACTAAAATTGTATTCGTAATTTAGTACAAATTGAGTTAATAATGACTGCATTACTAACCTAATCAAGATCTTTCAAATGACATCATCCATTTTTTGGATACCTTTTTTAGTTTCCGAAATATTTAGTACAAATTTGTAACACATTTTGTGGTACGTCATACAAAGTGGCTGCAAAATTGTTGAAAAATTTAACACAAGACAAAATTTTACTAAAGAAAATCCTTCATAAACCCAAAAATAATTAACAATAAACAATAAAAATAAAATAATTTAAGAATTTCGTGAGCTAATAACATTCTCCTGGTGTGCTTCAAAGGGATAGTCAATAAACCCGCACAAGTCCACCGCTGTCCCATTTACCAAAAGAAGGAAGGAAGTCAACTTGACTAAACCCACCTTGACAGGGACAAAAATTGAGTTCTCAGAAGAGGCGAAGCATCTAGGGGTAACTCTGGACAAAAGCCTCAATTGGAACTCACATCTCCTTAACGTTACCAACAAGGCTACAAGGACGTTTTATGCCTGCCCGAGACTCCATGACAAAACTTTGGGGAATATCACTCAAATTAACGTATTGGTCTTTCAGTACGATCGAGAAACCTGTTGTCACATATGCGGCACTGGCCTGGTGGCCAAAAGCAAAGCAAGCAAGTGCGGATGCCTCCTTCAGCCCCCTACACCGCTTGATCTGTGTGGCCATCACAGGAGTCCTCGGTATAATTATAGGCATTCCTTCTCTATCCATTCTGATAGAAAAGGGGACCTGCTGGAGCGCCCTATGGCTGCCCAATGTAATCGGCATGAAGAGCCGATCTCAAGCCTTTTCTGGATGATTCCGCTATCAAGCTCACAGATATCATGTTACCGAAATTATCCTTTGACAAGCTCTACAACATCAGAATTCCTGAAAGGGATTGTTGTAAAGCGATAATATCTATGATTGACAAAGGGTTCGAAGTAAGGTATACCGATCGATCAAAGATGGAAGACGGGAGTACTGGGGCAGGCGTGCACGGACCAAGGTGCCAGAAAAGTCTCCCAATGGGCTCATACCCAACCAAGTCTTCGCAATCGAAGTCTGTGTTCGAGAATGTCTTCGGAGAAGGACAAACGGGGCCAGAATAAATAATATGTCGGATAGTCAGGCAGCACTAAGGGCCCTACACTCATTTAGAACGACATCAGGGCTTGTGGACTGTTGTAAAATTCTAGGAGCCCACAATAGAGTTACGCTGTGGTGGGTCCCTGGGCATGAAGGGTTTGAAGGCAACGAAAGGGCTGACTATCTCGCAAAACGTGGAGCCCAAACGCGAATGCATGGTCCCGAGCCTTTCTGTGGTACATCTAGAGGATACACTACAAAACTGCTTAGGGAGTTCGGAGGAATCGCAGATTGCTGCCCACTGGCGTAAGTCAAAGGGAATGAGACAATCAAAGAAATTCATATCTCCTTCCAGGAGGAACTTAGAAAGACTCGGTGAACTCAGCCGAGAGGGTCTTAGGATTCTTACAGGCTACCTGACTGGACACTGCAAGCTAAGGTACCATCTGAACAAAATTGGGCTTTCTGTAAAGACGGACTGCAGGTTCTGTGGGCTGGCGGAGGAAACCTCAGAGCACATTCTGTGTGACTGCCCGCGTGTCATGAATATCATACTGATGCACCTTTGGGGAACGATTGTCTTCTCCATCCAAGATTTGGAACACGGCACACTCCAATGTGCTTAATTTCTTGAATAGCCTAAGGTTGAAGTGACTACAATTAGGGTTTAGCACAATAGATCTATTAGGTCGCAGCGCGAGTATACCCGACGTACTAATAATAATAATAATAGCATTCTCCGAGACTCTGGGGAACATCTAGATATTGTCGAATTTTTGAGAAATTGCATACCAAACTTCAATACGACAATATTTTACCCAGGTGACGATATGTGATAGTTCACTTCCGGTTCACTTACTCCTACAGCAGATATCCGCTAACTTTTTCATAAAAAAAGTTCCTGCATTTTCTTAATTTGCATTAAAATTTTCCATTTATTTCCATATACATAGTACAAAAGTGCAATACATTTCTGCACACTGTATGCACCAACAAGTATTGCAATAAATTTACCAACCCGCCACCTTTCAACGAAGACTACATGATGCCCACTTAGATATTGCGTCCAATAGGGCCCAGCAGTTTCACTCAAATAAGCAACTTGCTCTGCGCACAGCTTAGCCAACAGCACACTCACTCACTCAACCAGCCACCAACTGAAATTATTCACAATTCACAACTTGCAACTTCAGTTGATTTTGAGCACGCAACGGAAAAGAATGTGTAAACGGAAGTGTCGCGTTCGTTGGTTTTGTGACAAACCTGAGTTTTTAACCAGAAATTAAGTGTACATACATATGAATACACGAAGCAAACACATACACAAAGAGCGAAGTTGATTTAATTAATTTGGCTATGGGAAAATCTACTCCTGTAACGTGAATTTTCTTCATGCACGAAAAGTTAATAAATATCAAATGCATGGCATTTATATATAGTAAATTTTAAATCGAGTTGAAAGTGCAAAGCCGTCGAATATACACTTAACTTGAGCTTATTTTTCCTATTTGTGTGCGTTTTTTTTTGTTTTTTTTTTTTTTTTGGTTTTTGACGGCAACGACGAACACCACGACTGCTGCTTTTGTATGGTGTGCTATGTGACTCCTGATGATGTGGATCTGATGCGTACACGAAATTAACGACGAGAAGGCAAAGCCAGAGCCGTACACACACACACACACACACGCACACACATAAATGGGTAGAAACCCAAAAGTGGAAAAAAGTGTGAAGTGAAAGGTGCAAAATTTTTTGTGAAAAATGCTACAAAAATATTTTGCTGCATTGCACCTACCAGATTTTATGTACATAACGATTTGTGAAAAATATGAAAAATTAAATTGTAAAAGTGTTAAGTAGGAAGTGAATATTTCACACAAATAAACACATACAAAAAAGCTGCTGGAAATTGTGCTGCTGTGCTTGGTGCTAGCGAAAAATTGGGAGTACCTACATACGTGCATACATATTTGGAAAGGAAAAAGGATATATCGGAGAACAACTAAATGTGAGTTCAATGCTATCTATACATTGGTGCATACAACAACAACAACAAAGCACGTATGAACCTTTCTATGTGTTTAAATATGTATTTGCTTTGCTGCAAAGTTACCTACATACATATGTATGTATGTACAAATGTATGAACGCGCGTGCATTCCTGCGACATTCTAATTGTTTATTCTATGATTTTTTAATTAATTGTTGCACGCGAGCTACCTTTGATTTGATTCTTTTTCTCATATTTATGTACATATATATGTATGTATGTATGTATGTATGTATGTATGCTTCTTTCAATTTCTACAATTTTGTTTAATTACAACTTTGAGTGAGAACAGCCAGGTGTAATATATGTATGTATGTATGTATGAATACTACATTGTTTATCTGCGTAATTTATGAGCTGAGGATGTCTACAACAACACTAACAACAACACAATCGTAGCGCAAATATACAAATGGCATGAACCACAAAGAATGGTGACAGCTTAAGTGCCCTGCCTGGCTGGCTGCTTGCATATTTGTATTTACATAGTATGGGTCAAAAACGTTATTTACTTTTCGTTGGTTGATTTTTTCGTACTCGTACTAGTATTCGCAAACACTGCTTATTCCCAACTTTGCTTTACTTTGTTGCCTGCTTTTGCAAGCAAGTTGCAAGTTGCAATGTTTTTTTTTTGTTTTTTTTTTCTTTTTATTAGGAATCCATCATCGCATCTGCGGCTACGGCTGCGTCTATTGCTGCCACTGGCATTGCCGCAACCATTGCACCACATCATTTGTGCACTCATGCACACCTATTTATATTTATATGTACATATGTATGTAAAATCGTAAATTACTAGCTGCTCTCTGCCTCGCTCGCGATGCTTTTTCACTAATGGCTGACGAGTGTCGATTGAGTGAAATCTCGCGCGCATATCCGTTTCTCATCTCGGTTGCTCAATTGCTGAGCGGCGTAGGTATTCACAATAGCGTTCGCGAAGTTTGGAGTTTTGGGCAGCAGCCACAGGACACCCCTCTGCGTTAATCCAACCAAGCAAGCAAGCAACCAACTTCATTTAGTCATAGTGAAATGCGACATTGCGGCTGCATATTTATTGTTGTATATATTTTGTTTTCCTATTTATGTACTCATTGCCCTTTGCCTTTTGTTGTATTGCCTTTTCCTCTTTCCAACATTTCTCATCTTTGCCCTGTGCCTTGCGCTATCTGTGTTTGCTATGCTGTGATGTCCGAAAATTTTCAGTTTTCTGTTTACGAATTCTGTTTCGCCAGCATTAAGTTGGTGACGTCTGTGTCTGCATAGTAGTTTTTCCAATGCTTACGCTTAACATTAGATAGATACGTATCTGTTTTTCTACTTGTACCTATCGGCGTGCCGCGTATTGTGCTTGTGTTTGTGCGAAAATGACATTCTAACGAAAGGAAGTCAGTTGAAAACAGCCTAGGGGCGTTTGCAAAAGACAGCTTTAAAATGCGAAAGGATATTGGAATGGTTGGTTGGTTGTTGGCTGTGTCTCAAACACACTTTTCTCTAATTTCGTTGCGGCTAAACGCGAGACATTTCAATTAAAGTTTTCGACCACTAATGCTTGCAGGACCTGCTTTCAGCACAAACCGACAACCAGTTATTGTGCCAAATAAGAAGAAGAAGAATGCCTGCAGGATGCCTCTTTTAGATCACTTGCGGGGAAAAAGTATACAAAAAAAATTTTAAATCAACTTTAGCTTAATTCCGATAATCACAAAAGAAAATTTCGTCTTGCATCTACGCAAGTATCTCCATAGATGAATACATGCATATACATATTTAGGTATTAGTAAATAAAATCCCGCTAATCCCACACTTAGTTATATCTGATTCGCTCGTGTGTTAAGAATTCGATTAAAAGTTTTCTTTAACATAATGTTAGATTTGCATATGAATAGCTAAATTTAAATTTCATTTCATTCACTTGAAGTGGATTCTACGCTTTTGAATGTACATTGTACAAACATAGATTTTTTGTAGGAATTGATAATGTACTACAGGCAATCTAAAGCATCATACTTTGGGCACACCTACGGCTATGTTTTGTCATTTTGTTTTTTTGTTGCTGACAATGTAAATGGGGGAAAAGTGTTAGGCTTAGCCGTGGATAACTTATTGTGGGAATATTTGAAAGTACAATAGCTGATTTAAAAAAAAAATCCCTAACCTACTTAAAAATATGTGTACAATGGAAAGCGCTTCTTATTTTTTACAAGCTCTTATTTAACTTGCTATGTATGTGTGCATGTTTGTTGGGTAAAATCTTTAAATCGAAAAATAAATTTGTAACCAACTTCCCAAAGAGCTAGAGACGTTAAACTTCCAACTTAGCTTAGAGAGCAAAATGAAATAATCCGCTAGGTGGCGCAGGAGTCGATATATTTGAAAACCGATAGTCCGATTTGATTCATATTTGGAATGTACATACAGATTATGTACAAGTGTACTATATGTATATTACGCCGTGCGACAATAAATTTTACACACAAAAAAGACAATAGGGGTATTTTCGCAGTCTTGCAAAGCCGTTGCCAGTGCACGGTTTGCAAAGCTCTCCCATACGGAAACCGGTTTTCACCATGCAATTTGTACACCGTGCAAGGGCTTCGCAAAACTCAGAGAATACCCCTGATATATTTGCGAAACTAGGAGCAAAAAATCTGAAATCAGATTTTTTTAAGGTCTTCGAAATTTCGAAATTATGATAACTTAATTAAAAAAAAAAAATATTTAAAAAATTTAGTGCAATTGAGAATATGGGTGTTAAATAAAATAGGAAGTTCTGCATAAGGACGCATGGGTATCGAAAATGTCCTTTTAAAATTGTATCCTAGAATATCCTTGAAAATTGTATTTATTCAAAAAAATATATATGTTGCTAAGGTCTAATATAAACGCGACCATATCTTCGAATTTCTTTTGTCTAACTGTGTTGGCTTAAAAAATTAAATTAATTAAAAGGACATTTTCAATGCCTATTTGTCCCTGTGAGTCAAAAAACTTTAACTTTTTTTAGCCACATTATTTTTCTACATTTCACTGAATTTTTTAAGGATTTTTTTAATAAATTATAAATTCGAAATTTCGAAATCCTTTTAAAAAATCCTGACGTCAGAGAGACAAACTAAAAACAAGAAAAGTTAGCCGGTAGGTGGAGGGGGGTCAATATATTTCGAAAACCTACATCTATGGTTTGATTTAGTTTACGTTACTCAAAAGGAATAACTCCACATATAATATGCCGATATGCGACGCAGTATTTATGGTTCGATTCGGTTCATATGTATTTAGAAAACTTTTTTAAATATATTTTTTACATTAGATATTACCTTATTATATTTTTTTTACTTAGGTATGTATACCTTAACAGATTATACAAAAAGGAGTAGTTGAAAATTTTTGTATTGTAAACAGAGAAATATTGTATTTCCAGACGTAAAATTTTTAGTTTTCTTCTAAATTCGACTCTATGTATTGAAAACTATCTCAACCAAAACTGAAACTGGGTTCTAGGAACAACATATAATTTAAGATACACTCAGAGAAAAATTTTGTTCTAAAAAAGTGCGACTGGGATTAAATTTTTCATTATTCGTTCTTAAGATTTTTAAATCTTTACTTTCTTACGGCAGTGTGACACGATTGGACACTTGCCCAAAATTTGGTGAATGCACAAATATTTTTTTTTTAATCCAATCACTAAAAAAAATGTTCAAATATTTCAATAGAATTTCGGTGTATTGTACCAATCGTGTGACTACGAAAAAAATTGTCCTCCCGATTTTTTTATTTTGTCGGTGTCGCGATTCTTGAAATAAGAATTTGTTTACTCCGTATAAGAATTTTTGGTGTTTCCGTACCTTTTCTATCGCCTAATTGGAGTATAAATTCTTGTTTTTTTTAACCTATAAACCTACCTTAGTAAATGCCCGCCACTCCGGCAATACAGGATATAAAAAAAAAATTTACATGACTTTTTAGCAAAAGTCGGGCTGTACATCATTTGTTACTCGTATGATCTTATTCCTCAGCTCTGGAGTCGCCTCAGGCTTATTTTAATAGACCATACTTTTCACGTAGCCCTAGAGAAATAAGTCCAATTTCACCTCGTTGTTTCGTAAGATAACGTATTCTGGGAATTCCGCTCGCAATAGGGTCAATGTTTCATGCGCTGTGTGGCAAGTCGGGTAGAAACCACATATTGTCCAAGTCCATTTAATCTAATTCAAGCCATAAAAAGTTTGTTATCATGTCATATCAGTGGTTGTTTCACTGATCACAGTAACAGCATTACCGACATAATTTTCGAAGAAGTACGGTCCAGAAGCCCACAAACCACACCAAACAGTGACTCGTTGTGGGTGA